AAGAGGAGGTGAAGCTCAAGCTGGAAAACTGTTTTGGTAGGTTTTAATTCCTCTGCTTATGGTGTTGTTTTATACCAGAGGGGTATTCAAGTCAGCACTTGTTTGGGAATCCCATATGGGACTTCCTGGGATGTCATTAAGCAGCTGGTAGTCATTGTGAATGTATGGATTATTGCAGTGGCTGTAGGTGTAGGATGCAGTAGGTGCAGGTGGCTTCTGTGGGCCCCAAGATGCTGCTTGTTTCTGTACTTGGACTTGGCAACAGCTCTCTTGCATTAAGAAGAAAGACATTTAAGATGCCATGCTGCATCAGTAAGACTGAAGTTCCACCATTTCTGTTTCAACAGTGATATTGCAGGAATGCTGTTGAAATCTACAGGAATATTTTTAGATTCTGGACTACAAGACAGTTGTGATGAATTTTGGGCCAGTGCCGATGACAGCACTGCATCGGATGAAATCAGGTATTAAAACTTTTGTCTTAATAATAACAAAATGCTTACATATGTTTCTCTACCTCTGACAGATGCACAATGTATTTTATTCCTTAGAATGCAAACTTGGTAAATGCAAGGCTCCATAGACTGTATCACTGTATTTCTGTGTGCAGTAGTGAAGCATCATTTTGTTTTTTTGAAGCCTAGTAACCATCTCTTCAGTTCAGGCTATGAGAGGTTGTTTGTCAGTTCAATTTATTTGTCAGCTGCTTGCAAATATTTGTGTTCTTTTTACTAACATGTATGTGAATAATTATTTTCTAATGGCTGTGTAAGTGTAATATGATTTATTGGAATGTTGTCATTTCATTTCTGCCAATGTTTCAGGAGGTCTGTTATAGAGACCAGTCGAGCACTGAAAGAACTGTTCCATGAAGCTAGAGAAAGGGCCTCCAAAGCTCTTGGTTTTGCTAAAATGCTGAGGAAGGTAAGTTAACAGAGTCTTCTCTTATTTATATACTTCAAAGAAATTTGGTCTGAAAGCATATTCTTTTATCATTATTTGCAGGACCTTGAAATAGCAGCAGAATTTGCATTGTCAGCCCCAGTGCGAGATCTTCTGAATGCTCTGAAAACAAAAGATTATGTGAAGGTAAATTCACATAGGTGATAAGTTTTAGAGGCATGAAAGTGAACTGAGTATATTAAGCAAAATGTCAAATATTGTCATGCTTTAGTTTTTTTTTAATGGGACATCTATATTTCAACATGTAAAGTGCTCTGTACTTAATACTGAGTTGTGGTAGTCAAATTTTGTATTTGTCGTTTGTATAAGTGAGAATGCTTGTCTACATTTCGGGAAATCAGTGATTTATTTCCTTAT